CGTGAATGACAAATTCGATAACAAATTAGACTGTTCATTATGTGGTTTAATCAAACTCACCCTTCTTTTAATATAAAAATATTGTTGTATTAAAAAAAAATTAAATAAAAATAATCATAATCGTACGCCTCATGATGATGGCCACCTCCACTACCCTTGGTGTAAACGTTGCTAGACGCGGTCACACTCTCTGTGTCACTACCCATGGCATATTTGCTAATTGCTACTCTATTTTAAATGCAACTATGTCGATGTGTATAAAATCAAAACACTTCGTCTAACTCTTTCTTTTGTCGCAACCATCTACAATATATATAGATTACTCTTAACTCTTTGCGACCATCTACAATATATATAGATTACTCTAACTCTTTCTTTTGTCGCAACTATCTACGTTGTTATTTCACTACAAAGACAAACTAGCTAGCCGTTTGGTCTCCTAGATAGCTGTAATAGTCAATATCCTTATAAAAACGTACCCATCATTATATTATTGGATAAAGTACAAAAGACTACCTCAACTATTGGTGTCATGACATTTTCATATCTCATCTTTTAAAATTGACAATGTCATACCTTATCTTTAGAATTTAGTCCAATATTATACCTTTCGTTACTTGGCCGTTTACTTTTCAGTTAAATGCTGACGTGGCTTGATTCAGAACCCACTTTCTATTAAAAAATCATTAAAATATTATTAAAATAATAATTAAAAAAAAATAGCAACCCTCAGTTCGTCCCTCTCCCTCCCTCCCCCTCCTCTCTCTTCTCCCAATCTTCATCTTCTTCCCCCCACTTGCAACCCCCCAAAAAAAAAAAAAAAATCTAATTTGTCTTCCCCCCGCACCCAACCTCAGTTTGTCTCCCCCCCCCCCAACCCCTCTTCTCCCTCCTACAACCCAAAAAAAACCCCAGATCCCGTCGGCGAGAAGATGGGTGCGCCGAGAAGGTGGAGGATGGGTGCGGAAGAGGATGTGGAGAATGGATGTGGTGGATTTGGGGTTGGCAAGGGGTTGAGTTTGGGAGGGGGCACGGACTGGGTTCGCTTTGGATTTGTTTTTTTTTTTTTCTTTTTCTTCCCCTTCTCCTTCTTCTTTTTCTTTCTAGGTTGCACCCGCGGGGTGGGGGTGGACGAACTGGGTTGGGTTGGATTTTTTATTTTTTATTTTTTCTTCCTTTTCTTCTTCTTCCTCCTTCTCATTTTTTTCCTCTTATTCTTCTTCTTCCGCGGGGGGATTTTTGGGGGGGGGGGGGGGGGGGGGCGGGGGTAGGAAGGGACGAACGAGGGATTTTTTTAATATTTTTCTTTTCTTTATTATTTTAAAAAATATTAAATATTTTTTTTAGTTTTTAATACTATTTTATTAATTTTTTAATAAAAAGTGGGTCCCGAATCAAGCCACGTCAACATTTAACTGAAAAGCAAACGGCCAAGTAACGGAAGGTATAACATTGGACCAAATTCTAAAGATGAGGTATGACATTGTCAATTTTAAAAGATGAGGTATCAAAGTGTCGTGACACCAATAATTGAGGTAGTTTTTTGTACTTTACCTTATATTATTTTTGTAAGCCTCGTTTCTACATTAGACTCCAATATTACCAATCCAAACTTACTTAGGTGAGTACTGATCCAATAGCAAAATTCACCAATGACAAATTAAATTAAATATTTGGTGGTTTTTTTTTTTTTTTTTGAACAAAATTACAATGAAAATCTCCTTAAGATTTCTAAGGAGAGCTGTAATCAAAGTACACTCAACAATATCAAAGGGAAGTTTTGAAGACACATTTCTAGTGTTTGTCAAAGTCTTTATTATTCTTTTATTTTCTCATTAGTGAAAATCTTTAGTATATTTTTCTAGTTATGAATATGGTTTGTTAAAATTTCAAAGAGACGAGGTTCACATCGATATTGTTCTTAATTTACTTAATTACATGTGCAATCCAATATGTGTGTAGTTTCTTCACAGATTCACAGCCAATGATGCAATTAGAAGGGAAAACACTTGATACAAGTTGTAAATTTTGTTTTGAAGTCCCCATTATAAAATGTTTGAATTGTTGGGTGGATGTGTTGTTTTTGTTGTTATATTGTCCGCAAGTTTTAGGAAATGTTATAGTTTTAGGGGACGTTCTGCCAAATTTTCGGTAGAAAATAGAATTTGTCTAATGTTTGCTTTGTTTATTTGGTAGTTCAAAAAATAAAAAGTAAAAAAAAAAACCCAAGAGCCCACTCAGACTTCGAAAGATGTCATAGACCACTTGCACCACCACCATTATGTGGGATCCTCGACATCGTGCGGCTGCAACAAAGAAGCAGCACAGTGCATTGGGCAGCGACATTGGCTCGGTTATTAGGAATCATTGCCCCCTCCTATGGGAGTCATAGAAAGCTGTCCCACCAGAAGTCAAAGAAGTCATTCTTCATGAATTATCAGCAAGTATTTTAAACCTCAAATACTAATTTTTATTAAAGTATACAAATATAAAAAAATTTAACTACTATTTATTTGTTGAGTTTTGTAGCATCATTATGAGCTCACGAACCTCGATGCCAATCAAAACCAGTACATCAACGAGCTTTGCGCCAGTAGGTTCACTCAATGGAAGAGAGACCTCCACAAGTATTATGAGAAATATGATGGTGCAGAGGTCACTCTAGCAGTTGGGTGCCCTATAGAGTTGGTGGACCGCTAGGATGAATGGGAGTGGCTCTACAGCTATTTTTAATACGAGAAACACCTCATAAGTGTAATATATATTTCAATAATATTTAATCAAAATTTTTTATATTTTTTAATAATATTTTAATATTTTCATTAATTTGTTATAAATATCTAAACTAATATATTTTATTTTAATTTAGCAGAAAAAAGTGAAGGCAAACTCGATCAATCGGTCGAAGAAGAAACTTCTTCACCGCTCTGGCTCACGATGTTTCTCTTATAGGTTGGAGGAGCGACGTAAGGTAACCGTATATTTATTTTAAGTTTTGATTTTTTTACTCTCTATTACACAATTGCTAATCTATGTGTTAATATTTTTTTTATTTAGAGGGTCAAAGTTTCCTGAGATTGACATGTTCAAGGAGGTGTACGTTCAGCTCGAGCATGAGTTGACGGAGCAGCTTTGTGACATCCCACATTGCCCAGAGGTGTGATCCTTATATGTATATTCCCATCCCTACCTAGCACGAGGCCTTTTGGGAGCTCACTGGCTTTGGGTTCCGTAGGAACTTCGAAGTTAAGCGAGAAGGGGGCTAGAGCAATCCCATGATGGGTGACCCACTGGGAAGTTGCTCGTGAGTTCCCAAAAACAAAACCGTGAGGAAATGGTAAGCCCAAAGTGGACAATATCGTGCTACGATGGTGGAGTGGGCCCGGGAAGTGATCTGCCCCGAGTCCGGATGCGACAATTTGGTATCAGAGCCTAACCCTGATCGTGGTGTGCCGACGAGGACGTCGGGCCCCTATGGAGGGTGGATTATGACATCCCACATTGCCCAGTGATGTGATCCTTATATGTATATTCCCATCCCTACCTAGTATGAGGCATTTTGGGAGCTCACTGGCTTCGGGTTTCGTAGGAACTCCGAAGTTAAGCAAGAAGGGGGCTAGAGCAATCCCATGATGGGTGACCCACTGGGAAGTTGCTCGTGAGTTCCCAAAAACAAAACCGTGAGGGAATGGTAAGCCCAAAGCGGACAATATCGTGCTATGGTGGTGGAGCGGGCCCGGAAAGTGATCTGCCCCGACCCGGGATGTGATAAGCTTCATGTAAGTTATTTCAATTTTTTAATATTCAATTACTATTAATATTAATTACATGTATATTAAAATTAATTTGTTTGTTTTCATTTTTCTAGTCCACCATGGTGGAGAAAAGCCAGACCGTTCTAAAGGAGGTGGCTTCCTAACTTCCCCCAAAGACACTGATCGAGGAGGTGTTTCCCCCTAAGGAGGCGAGTTTTCAGATAATGACGGACACACTCAATCAGACCCTCAGTCGTAGGCAGAATAATGTTCACCGGGGGCTTGGGAAAGCCCACCCTTAGCACCCGTTTGCCTTATCCTTCAGGCAGAGAACAGAAGTGGTCGAATCACTGACATCTGAAGTGGTAGACCTAAAGGAGTAGATTGCCACTTAGCAGTCTCAGCTTGCGGCCCAAAGCAGTTTGATGAACCAAATTCGTCTCGCCCTTCAAATCTCTAACATTCGGTTCTCTGACGTTGAACCACTTCTAGCTCCCCCGCCGCAGCAGCTACGACCTCCCAGCTTCCCCAACGCAGCAGCAACACCACTAGCAGGCGATTGTGACGTAGACAACTACATATTCTAGTTTTTTTTTTAAATTATTTTTAAATAATAAAATATTTCTTTTCGTTGTATATACACTTTCAATAATTTTTTAATTCAATATTCTTCTTTACATTTGCTGTTTTTTATTTCATTAAATTAATTTATACATAAAACAATATTATCAACATTTAAAAGGAAATAATAAATAATAAATAAATAAATAAAAATTATTTAAAAAAATTAATTTTAAATCATATTGCGATGCCTTATTTCCGTCGCATAAGGTTTTAGAGGTCAAACCCTATTTTCGTCGCTCGAAGTATCATGTGCAACAACCACCAATTTCGTCGCACAACATTTATTTCGCACGACGAAGCACTTTCCTCCATCACGCAATGTCTGACGTCACACTAGTGCAAAAAATACTTTGGGTGATGTAGGTCCTTCGTCGCGCAAAGTCAAAAAAACGTCGCGCAAAAATTTGCGTGACGAACCTTCGTCGCGCTACAGGCGTCGCGCCACGCCTGTGAAAGAAGGTTTTGCGCGACGAAGAAGTTACATGCGTCACACAAAGTGTCTTTGCGTGACGTAGTAACATGCGTCACACAAAGTGTCTTTGCGTGACGTAGTAACATGCGTCACGCAAAGTGGGTTTGCGTGACGTAGGTGTGCGTCACGCAAAGTGGGCTTGCCAAGTAGTCTTCTAGGTTTGAAAACTACTGGGTATCGGGTAGGTGAGGTGGCTGGGAGGTCGAAGGTGGAGTAAGATCAGGTGCTGGCAGCTGGATTTGGAGACCGGACACCGCTAAGGCCTGTACAATCATACTCATCTGGGCCCTCATCTGTTCGTTCTCAGCTCTCATCTGCTCGTTCTCCGCCTTTATATGCTCACTCTGGGCCCTCATCTGCTCACTTTGGGCCTTTATCTGCTCGTCCTGGGCTGCAAGCTGACCTTTAAGGGTTGTCACTTCCTCCTTCAGGGCGTTGGCCTCTCCTGTGGTCGATTTGGAAGAAGAGGCACCCGTCTCACGAACCCGCGCCTTCCCTATACCCCGAACAACCTTGCCATGACGACGACCGTACTTTTGATCCAGGACCTCAGTCATGATCTGAAAACCTACATCCTCGGGTAAAGTGACGTCCTCCATCGGGGTTTCCAAGGGAAGTTGCGATGTTGCTTCTTGGAGAACAGCATCGCCCTTTTCCACCATAGTAGCCTGTAATAATAAAGAAAAAACGTATAATGGTTAATAACAAAATATAAATAATACTTGAACGATTCATAAATATAAGAATAATAACAATTACATCTACTTACATGAAGCTGCTCAGCGATCTCATTGCCAGGTCGAACGTAAACGTCCTTGAACACGTCGATCTCTGGGAACTTAGAACCCTCCTAAAAAAAAAAAACCATTAGGAAAATTTTATTAATCAATAATAAAAATTAAATTGTATAAAATTTCAAAATTAATATACTTTTACCTGACGTCGTGTCTCAAGGTTATACGAAAAGGGCTTCGAACCGGAATGGTGGAGAAGTGTCTTAGAGTCCCGAGCTATCTTGCCAGCAACAGATTTCTTCTGTTAAACACACAATATACATGTTAGTGCGACTATTTGAAAGAAATTATTTTAAAAAGCTTAAAAAAATAACTAAAACTTTAATGAATTATTATTAAAATATTAAGTACATACCACAAATTTTGAGTCCGTAAAATGGTTGCAGAGCCATTCCCAATCCTCTGGCCGATGCTCCAACTCGGATGGGCAACCCTCTAGGCGAGCAACCTCTGGATCATTAAATTTCTTAAAATGCGCATGAAGATCGCTCTTCCAATTTTTGTACCGATTTGCGAAGGTCTCGTCTAAGTAGGTGATGACCTCAGGGGATATGTCCTTAAAATCAAAATTGACCTACAAATAAAACAACAAAATAATAGTAAGAAATTTAATAATATTAAGATAATATACTTTGGTTTATAATATTTGTAAACATAATTAAAAAAATGATAAAAGGCCAAAAATTAATATACTAACCGACAACTTGTCTCGCACCAGTATCTTCGTCTCCTGAGGAATTTGTGCCCAAGTCTCCCACTGCATAGGACAACAATTCCAAATAACACAACCACAGCTAGTAGCGACGATGCTATGTTGCTGTGAGGTAGCCGCTCCACGATGTCGCGAGTCATATGCAATCTTGATCAAGGAGGCAGACAGACGTACATTCTGTGCCGTCTTCAGCATTCGATTAGGCCCCCTGGTTTTTTTTTTAGCTATCCAAAAAAACTTAAATGGTGAAAATCCTAAGCTTAAATTTCTATAGAAAATTTTGCAAAGCCTCCCCTAATAGTATATCATTTCCCAAAACCTTAAAAAAGTAAAATAACAGTAATTCACAACCCGCAACAAATTTTCACAATCATAAAAATAATAGTTTTAAAATGAAAAAAAAATACAACGTAGTGAGAATTAGGAAAAAAAAACTACCTGGCTGGGAGCCCCCATCCTCAACTCTGGATGATGAGGAAGTATGAACAGAAGGCTCCAAATCGCGGCGGTGCCGATGAGGCCGCCGCGCACTGAGCGACTGAACCGACACTGATGACGTCGATGATACAGGCACCTGGGATGCCGTAGCAGTAGCCTCAGTAAGGGGTGTAGTCTCCCCAATCAATGGAGCACTCACGGATGGAGCAGTAAATGGTGATAATGCGGGAGGCGCATTGGTCACACTCCTACGACGAGCGATCAACTTCGACATCTATACACTTTTTGAATAAAGCATTCAACTCAACATCATTTGACAGACAAACTTATTAGTAAGAAATTTAACAAAATAATAGAAAACAAAAGGCGAAAGCATAAATCTTTTCTCGCTAAAAAGAAGGTAAAAGGCTTAAAAGCATGCCACACAAAATGCTGAAAGAATACCTTTTCAGCTTTTATAATATTTGCTTAATGGAATATAGGATTTCAAGGTTCAACCACCAAGTTCTTGATGAGAAATACCGGCAAACCACCACAAATGGTAGAATCATATCATCTCCCTTTAGTTTTCTTTAAGCCAATAGCACAAACTAAACAGGAATTGGACCCACTCACCCTCAAACCTTATAAGGAGGTGGTGTTATCAGACCCAAAATATCACACATATCTTATTATCCTTGGTACTTACTGTTTTTAGATTGTCATGAATTTAGCACAAAAAGTTATCAGCTTGCGCCTCTTTTTCTATCACATACAAATAATGAGGGTATACAAGTATGAAATATTTGGTTCCACTTTAATCAACAACCAAATTAGGATTACAAAAGGTTAGAATATAAAGGTCAGACATCATATGTTCGTAAAAGCCAGGTTAAGCACCCATAAGTTCCTTTTACAATTGAATGATTTTATTGAAACAGTGCCTAAGGGGCACAACTGGTTAACTCAAGGCAAAAGATGATGCTTAACTTGTAAAGCTTATTGTCATCTGTTCGAGAGCAAATAAAGAGTCAACTAATGGATTGGGAAGTTGTAAAGCAGAATAGCTAGGCTCATAGCATGCAAAGGTCTAATTAAACCAATGTCATAACAATGGAACGAAAAGTTTCACATGCCGAAACTGAAACACACACTACACTGCTACAACTTAGAAATTAAAAAAATAATTTGCTTTTACCAATTGTGCAAAGATCTATATCATGAAATAATAAAATAAAAAATAAAAAAAAAAAAAGGTGCACGAATACCTTTCTCGGCTAGTGTTGAAGTGTTATTTTTCTTCTGGTTGGAAAAGTTGAATTGTTGTTAAGTCCAGAGGGATTGAAATGTCCTTCTCTCGACCTAGAACCTGAGGAAATAAAAAGTGAGATGTCAAAGTAATTCTTGTCAACCAAGAATGCCATATTTCAATGAAAAAAAACTATGCCTGCGCAAACAACAAGAATGAAATGAAAAGAATAAAGCATTACCTTAACTTCCCGGTAGTGGACGAGAACTATGTGTTGCAGAGCCCTGCAGCAATGACCAAGTAAGTCAGACGTGAAAAGAAAATTTCACAATAAATTACTTGAATCATTAGCATGTGAGACTAAATGTTAATTGCATTTGGGTTTTCTTTAATTTTATTAGACAGGTATTAAAATGAACAGGCAGCCGTGGGTGCCTGCTTGTACTTGCAAACACATCCACAAACACTGCTAAGGCTTTTGAACAAAAATCTTTGATAGATTTGTAGCATATAACTCACTCTTCAAGCATCCAATAACTGCGCCTTTGGAAATTTTCATTTTCTTCTCCATGTGCATAATAGCAGTGCAGCACATCAACGCTTCCAGCCTGAAAGGATGTTCAATTATTATTCAACCACTTTGATTGAAAACAAAGGCTTTGTCAACAAATTAACTCTTGACACAAGCCACAAAAACTTGAGAAATAAAGTTTGATTCTTTCTACTGCACAAAGGCACTTCACCCATAAAATTGTAAATTGAAAGATATCAGGAAACCGAAAAACCAATGTTTGAATTCATCCGTATCGAATCAGCGTAATAACAATTCCTCACCAACCCATCAACAATCGAGTGTGCGTGCAGCAAAATCACAAAGTGAAACCCTACACTGAACTGCAATTTCACCCTAATCCCTAAATAACAAAAACCCATCGCAAATCACAAACCCTTACCTTGATTTTGGGACTTGATTCCCGTTGGCTTCGACATTCGTGTGGCTACCCGTCGTTTAGAACGAGAAGGAAGAGAGAAGTCTATGGGAAAGAGAGAGGAAGACCGAGAGGAAGAGGATAAGAGGAAGAGGAAGAGGTCTGCAATTTAAGCAAAACCGAAAGTCTGCAATCTCCAACCAAAACCGAAAGTCTGCAATTTAAGCAAAACCGAGAGGAAGAGGATAAGAGGAAGAGGAAGAGGTCTGAAAAGAGGTCTACGGAAAGAAAAACCGAGAGGGAAAGAAGATAGGATATATGGTTGGAAAACTTGGAAAAATTGAAAAAAAGCGCCTATTTTTCGCTAAGGACCGCCAAAATTATCAATTTGCGCGACGCAAGTGCACGTACGTCGCGCAAAGATGTTTTGCGTGACGCCACATACGTCACACAAAGATGTTTTGCGCGACGTACGTGCACTTGCGTCGCGCAAAGCTGTTTTGCGCGACTCATGTAGCCCTGCGTCACGCAAAGTCAACAGAAAAAGCGGTAAACCTTACTTGGTTTAGCGCCAAAATCTTGCGGGACGCACAAAACGTTGCGCAAATGGCCTTTGCGCGACTGCACTTTGCGCGACGAAGATTGGCATCGCGCAATACCGTTTTGCGCGACGTAGGTACCCTTACGTCACGCAAAATGGTATTGCGCGACGCCAATCTTCGTCGCGCAAAGGCCATTTGCGCGACGTTTTTTGTTTAGCGTCACGCAAACATACTTTGCGCGACGCAATTAGCTGCGTCGCGCAAACATGTTTTTGTACTAGTGTCATCAGTTTTGCACAACAGAATTTGCCGACATCCTCTTCGCTGTCCAATATTTCCAGCAACCGTATTTGCCTTTGCGCGACGGTTGTCCTTTCGTCGCCCAAGCAATTATGCTTAGTAGTGAATACAACAAGTTAAAGATGTCTATGTATACCATTGACTATTAAATAATCTTACGCGTCTTGGTTGGCACCTCCACTACTCTTGATGTAAATGTTACTTGACGCCCTTTCTTTTGTCACACCCTCGGCGTCGCTATCGATTACTCCATTATTTCACTCTGACATAGCTGGTTCATTTCTTGCTCTCTCCTACCCTACAACACTTAACGTAACAGTGAAACACATATTCATTACCGGGCCGGTCCTGTGATTTCAGCATTTGTGTGAAAACCTCCCGTGGATGCAAATGGAAACCGATCATGCTGAAAAACGTAATGCTGCCATGAAAAAGCTCATTCTCATTATAAGCTGCATACTTTTATTTATAGGCACATGTGAAGGTCCATTGGTTATGCACCTCTACTTCATCCATGGAGGCAAACGTGTGTGGCTTTTGAGCTGGCTTGAAACTGGCAACTGGCCAATCATCTTCATCCTCTTAGTCATGGCTTATTACCACTATTGCAAGACTGAAGGCTTATTAACAAAAACATTTTCATGAAGCTCCCACTCTTTATAGCCTCTACCATCAATGGCATCCTCACCGCCCTGGATGACGAAAATTTGATTTCTATTCCAAGCCAAAATACTGATGCCACCACCATACTGTGTCATTAGACTTTTACCTTTCTTCACCATGCATAATACTTTATGCAGTTGAATGGTATTATGTATGACATTGAGAAATAATGATAATATTCAATAATTTAATAGAAAAGAAGATTTGCGACTAGCTTTGTTATTTAAGTCTCCATGCTTTTATCATGCTAACTAAACTACTAAGGTTGCTACAAAACTACATACAAGTCATCAGTTCAACCCCTTCTCGACCTTTGTGCATAATCAGTTGGTATAATTTTAGTAATCAGTTTGTACATTTTCAATAAAACTACATATGTTCCATCGGTCCAACCCGTTCTCGATCATTTTTGCAAAATTAGTGTCAAAAACATGTAGAATCAGTTTTGTATCCATTGTTTTCCTGGAAGCATGAAGTCCATCGTACTCGAGATGAGAGGGAAAAAAAGAGTAATTTAACATTGCCTGGTCTAAAGCCTGCCTACTTGCTAACTCGGATTCACAGATTCATCAAGAAGAACACTAAAACCTTGTTTCATTTTTTAATACTAGATGGCAGAAACATACATTTGATGCAAAAGATCAAACTAGCTTGGACTTGTGACGCAATTATAGACTTCTGAAACTAACTTAGACCATTCAAATGGGATGCGAGTAAGAGAAAAACGAAAATAATAAGAGAACGAATGACATTATCCCCCCACATTCACAACATTCAAATTGAGTTATTAAATTATGAACAGGTTATTGGTGGCTACAAATTAATGAGCTTTGAGTTGTCTCATAGAGTGAATAAGAGATAGGTTAATTTGTTGACTTAAACATCAGATTGGGGATTTCAAGAAGCCTTTTTTTTTTTTTTTTTACTCTTAATTAACAATTTAATATATTGTAAGATATAATAAAATTAAAATAAAATAAGAAACAGGTTGATATACATTTGAGAAAAAATGGCAAACATTGTATACAGATAAGAAAACTAGGTGTGTCGAATTTTGGGAACCCTAAAAGTTACGTTTCTAAAATTTCCTTACTTCCATTGCAAACTCAACGATGATCTCTTGCTTGTGGCTGCTCGGCTTTCTTCTGATCTCCCAAGACAAAAACTTGTTTCTCTGCCTAATCTTTCCTTTGTTCAGCCAACCGAATCTGGTGAATAAGGTATGAGTGTGAAAAGAGAAAGAAGGGAGCACAGTGTGAAAAGGCTTCACAACTATAAAGGGTATCTTCGTAACTTAAACTCCAGAAAAAAAGAAGGCAATGATGTCATCTTCCAGATGTATAATTTTATCCCTCCTTAAAATGTTTAAAAAGTGTTATCTCAATATAAAATTAAGTATTAAAAGTATACTCTAGTGTAATTTTTCCTTTTCCTTATGGATCCATTTCCTTACCTACTCTATGGTTAAGAATTTCAAATTAGTTGGACTGAAAAACCTTAATTGTTTACAATTTGGTTTTCTTTGAATTTAGACGATGGAGATAAGAATTTTGAATTTCCATGATTACATTGAATCCAGGCAATTAATGTAATATCCCACATCGCCCAAGGGAGTGGATCTTGTAAGCCTTATATGTATATTCCCATCTCTACTTACCACAAGGCCATTTGGGAGCTCACTAGCTTCGAGTTTCATAGGAACTCCGAAGTTAAGCAAGTTCGTGCGAGAGAAATCCCAGGATGGGTGACCCACTGGGAAGCTCTCGTGTGAGTTCCTAGAAACAAAACGGTGAGGGTGTGGTCAGGGCAAAGCAGACAATATCGTGCTACGGCGGAGTCGAGCCCAGGATGTGGTGGGGGCCCAAGCCAGGATGTGACAATTTGGTATCAAAGCCAATCCCTGGTTGGAAGTGTGCTGACGAGGACATTGGGCCCCTAAGGGGGGTGGATTGTAACATCCCACATCGCCCAGGGAACTGGATCTTGTAAGTCTTATAGGTATATTCCCATCTCTACCTAGCACGAGACTTTTTGGGAGCTCACTGGTTTCGGATTCCATAAAAACTCCGAAGTTAAGCGAGTTCACGCGAGAGCAATTCCAGGATGAGTGACCCACTAGGAAGTTCTCGTATGAGTTCCCATAAATAAAACCATGAGGGCGTGGTCGGGGCACAAAGCGGACAATATCGTACTACGGCGGAGTCGAGTCTGGGATGTGGTGGGGATCCGGGCCGGGATGTGACAATTAATATGCCAATTAAGTGAGAAAATTAATTATCTTGAAAGTTCAGCTTTTTTTATTTAAAAAAATGAAAAAATTGACATGGAAATCTATTAATACTAATTTATGAAAAGTTGAAAACCAATAAAATTTCAATCAAAGAATATTAGTGGCTACGAATCGCATCCAAAGTCTCCCCATAATATATTAGTTTTTTTCAAATAGAAAAACAAATATAAATTCCAGAAGTTCCAACCAAATGAATAATTTCTTCCTATTTCTTTTGAATTTTCATAAAAGTATAAGGATTAGTCTACAGTACCTTTTAATAACAATAGGGTAAAGGTCCATTTTGTCATAGTAATATCAACGTCATTATATAAGTAATTAATTATAATATATGCTATTGTGTAACCTTTAATTGTAAATTTGAAAAATTATAATACATATATTTTTGTAATTGATATGTTTAATTTTAACGTCATATTGTAATATCATTATACGTTAACATACATAAATCATAACTGAACTACAACTAAAATGTTAAGAATAATACTTTGTATCATCTCAATTGCTCACACTTCTAATAAATAAAGGCTGGAAACCAAGATTGACCTTTATTTCACAAGAACGTTAGAATCGTCCACATTTCCATGATCCCGAATTGATGGATCAAATACAAAATCTCTCTTTAACTTTCATAGTTAAAATTGAGGAAAAAAATTACACAAATGAGAACCAATTTTCAATACGACAAGTTAAAGATGTCTATGTATACCATTGACCATTCAATAATCTTACACTTCATGATTGGCACCTCCACTACTCTTGATGTAAACGTTGCTCGACGCCATTTCTTTTGTCATACCCTCGGTGTCGCTGTCCACTGCTCCATTATTTCACTCCGACACAGCCGGTTCATTTCTTGCTCTCTCCTGCCCTACGACACTTAACATCGCAGAGAAACACATATTCATTACCGGGCCGGTCCTGAGATTTCGGCCCTCACGTAGATACCAATGGAAACCGATCATGTTGAAAAACGTAACACTGCCATGAAAAAGCTCCTTCTCATTATAAGCTGCATACTTTTATCCATAGGCACAGCTGGAGGTCCATTGGTTATGCGCCTCTACTTCATCCATGGAGGCAAACGCGTCTGGCTTTCGAGCTGGCTCGAAACCGGGGGCTGGCCGATCATCTTCATCCCCTTAGTCATGGCTTATTACCGCCGCCGCAAGACTGAAGGGCCATCAACAAAAATCATCTTCATGAAGCTCCCACTCTTTATAGCCTCTGCCGTCATCGGCGTCCTCACCGGCCTGGATGACTACCTTTACGCCTACGGCGTTGCCCGACTTCCGGTCTCCACGTCAGCCCTAATCATCGCTGGCCAGCTAGCCTTCACTGCCCTTTTTGCCTTTATTCTTGTGAAGCAGAAGTTCACCTCATTCTCCATAAACGCCGTCGTGCTGTTGACTATTGGTGCGGCTGTTTTGGGGTTGAACACCAGCTCTGATCGACCAGAGGGGGAATCGAATAAGGAGTATATTGCCGGGTTTTTGATGACGGTGGCGGCGGCTGCTTTGTATGGATTTGTGCTGCCGTTGATAGAGTTGACATACAAGAAGGCCAAGCAGACCATTACATATGCTTTGGTTATGGAGATTCAATTGGTTATGTGTTTGTTTGCTACTCTGTTTTGCACTGTGGGAATGTTTATCGACAACGACTTCAAGGTTAGTTGTATCCGGCCTCTGCTTAATTATCATCATCCAATTCTACTTCACATGTTACTGGTATCTTGCTTGTTAATTAGTCACATATGCTTCTCTTGTGTGAGTTTTTAGACCCCAAATTTTCACAACAACCTACTTAACAGTCGTACAAATAGACAGTCTAACAAGAAATATTATTTTCGACCGAAAAAAAAAAAAAACAAGTGCTAATGTAATTTCCAGATATGGATAAAGAGTTGGCAGGTAACGTTTCTCTCTTCACTAGCTATCTGGACCCCGTTTATTTGGGGTAGATCACTCCTATGTGAGACCAACTTGTAACAAAACGATGATCAATACAATATAATAAGAAGAATGCTAGTTATTTTTGCGGAACCTAGTAGTTTAGGAATACAGTTGCGTAAATTATATTGTGTTTGAAATATCCTTGTAGTTTTTATCATATTTTTTAAATTAGATATTATCATATTAGAATTGTAATTTTATTAAAGATAAAGAATTTATTATAAATAAATGCAGATGTCACACATTTTATAATTACATGTCTCTCTTTGTCTCTACTGTTGTGCACATCTTCTCTCTTTGTTTTTATATTATTCAGTAAATCAAACATACTTTCTACTGATCTTTTCTTCATCTTTTATTTTTAAGATTCTACGTGATGATTTGAACTGCCTTCTTAGTCACTTTTGAATCTTTATCTTTAAAAAAAATTAGTTACACTTTCTGTAAAGATAAAGACTTGATGATTTGAACTGTCTATAAAAAGAGATCATCCGAGTAAAGTTGTAGAATCTTAAAAATGTAAAAGAAAAGCGACACGTATTAATTAGTTAATATATAAAGTGGCTTTTATTTAGAATTTCGAGGAGATAAACTTTGGCTGGCCAGCTTTCATGTTTATGAAGTCCAGAAAATCCACCAGGTTTTTTTACTTTTCCTAGGCCTATATCCTCAGTCGGTGTATTCAATTGGGGATTTTAAATTATTTTAATTTTTTTAATGAATTTAGATATATTTGATTAGAATTTTAACCAATTATTAAAATTTAATATGTATTCATTTAGAAGTTTAAGATAATTTATTAAAATTTTTAAAAATCAGGATGTATTCAATTAGGATAACATTTTATATGTATTCAATTAAAATTTGATTTTAAAGAATTTTAGAAAGTTAAGGAATTAGAAAGAATTTGAGAGATTTTATGTGTATTTTAAGTATCTACAAATCTCACATCTCTCTATAAGATTTCGAGGGAATTGAATCAAAATTTTATGTGAAGTCTCTCAAATTATTAATTGAATACACCCCTAAAGCTTGATCACTTCATGATTTGAATTAATCTAAAAAGTTACTGTACCAACTACCAACTAATATAATAAGTGTGACTTTATTCTACTTTATTGGTTCATATGTATTGATTTCGCACTAGATACCATATATTTTCAACGAACTGTAGCATCAGCCATGTCATAAAATTGTGAAATTTTGGTATTTTTAATTATTTTATCATTATTTATAAAAGATTTTTGTTGCACATGAGATCTTACTTACGTTTTTGTACAATTTAATCTCATAAAAAGAAAATTAATAAAGGGATGAATGAGCGTAGAAAATCAGTGGTATATAAAACAGATATTTGCTTGGTAAATGGTCTAATTTATTTACCACTTTTTTCAGGTTATTCCAAGAGAAGCAAGAAACTTCGGTCTGGGGGAAACCAGTTACTATGTGGTGCTGGTATTTAGTGCTATAGTGTGGCAAGGTTTTTTTCTGGGAGCCGTAGGAGTCATCTTCTGCGCCTCATCTTTGCTTTCTGGAATTATAATTGCCGTTTTGCTCCCCGTAACTGAGGTCCTAGCAGTTATTTTTTACCAAGAAAAATTCCAAGCAGTAAAGGGAGTCTCTCTTGCACTCTCTCTCTGGGGATTTGTCTCTTACTTCTATGGTGAGATAAAACACAGCAAGCAAGAGGAAAAGGGAAAGGAAGCCGAAATTTCAGAGAAAAAGAAAGACACACCAGAAGCAACACAGGTTCCTCATCAACTGGAACCCTAGCTTGAACCCTAGCTAGTCTGTAGTCACAAACCCTAGTTGGAGTTTGAGAACGCGGGAAAGGCCACCTCTGCCGTTTGGCATTTACAAATTCGCCTATATTTCGCTTTGTTTGAATCATTTTCCTACAGTGGTGTTTATATATTAGTTGATTGTAAATAAAACTGTTATTAGCATTCTAAAAATCTCATTATCTACTTTTTACAAGTATATTTTTCTTTCGAATTATAAAAAATTTAGAATGTAAAATAAGATTTTTAAAATACCAATAATAATTCTCATTATAAATTATAAATTATTAGTGAGCGTTGCATGCGTTAAAGAACATGGAAAACTGTCAACTTTTTAAGCTTTACTTATGTGTACAAGTTTTGATTAATTATGAAAAAAATATAAAAATTTTCTTTGCCGGCCGTATCCTCATTAATTTCTCAAAAGAGTAATGCCATGTTTCGATTCTTTATCTTTTTCATTTACTTTTCCTCTCTAATCTTACGATGACCGAGGTCAAGTCTTCAAATTGCTCAAGACATTTATTTAAGTTAGCTACCAAATCAGTAGTTAGTATTTTAGTTTAGTGATAACAATTTTATAAAAAAAATTTGACAAACGATAGGATGTACCACTAAATAGATCTGAAATAGGCCCTATATTCTAAGTTAAGATCCAGCCAGCTATAGTCGCTGAAGGATCACTTCTAGGTTTTAATATAACTAATACAAAAAGCATAGATCCCCATCTCCCATACAATAATGTATTAGTTCGGGCAAAGATTTCTCCGGAGATGGCTCCTCGGCACTCAACACAACTCCCTAAGGGATTGGCACTTTAGATGTGTAGTCGAGCTCTTGCCTACTAATGTGTTGCAAGAGGAGGACAAACTTATTTTTGAAAGGTGCCCTTGTGGGGCCTTAGGTGTAAGCCTTAAGACTCACAATCAAAACCAACTAAGTGCTAGGTATGCCACTACTATCTCAATATAGCAAATGTAGAACAAGATTGTGTTTAGTCGATCACTTGCGCCCCAAGTTACTCAGACTTCTTGTTATCAAAAGATTGTCGTGGATGAGTTAAGTCCACATTAAGTTCTTTTTCTTGTCTTGTGACCAAGGACTTTCAATTCATAGTCTTGTATATTCGAATGAGGGCAGTCCAAATCCCTTAAGTCATTTGTTTGGTTCTAGATTGGTTTTAAATGAAAGCATATCCATTAAACTGACCAGATCCCGATATAAATAAGACTTTTAAAGTAGGAAACAGGCAGATATGACTTGAATACATACTGTAGAATGAATTAAGTAATAGATCTACAAATTCAGAAAGCAAACAAAGAGCTTCGGGCAAGATTTCACCTTGTCTGGCAAGGTTGAACCTTTTGCAATCACTTCTCTTTGGGTTTATAGAGGTTTCTATGATAAAAATGGATGAATGGTAAACCAATTTACACAAGGGAATCGATACTACGCCACTAGGGGTGATAGCAGAGCTTTTAAACAAGACAAAAGATAGCTTTTGTGAGGGAGATATCCTGAAAAATGACTGAGATTTGGGCTGATTACAGCTTTTAGATGCAAATATGGCTTGAGAGTAAAGTTTGTATGTTTGTTTGTTTGATTGGTTGAGTGTCCTTGTCTTTGGGCCCTTTTCCTCCTTTTATAGGCAAATTAGCCCGACTGCAGTGACTTTACTCTTGCCCAAAAGCACTTGGAGGGTAGTGAGTCATCAGCTTTTTACTTGTATTGCCACTGAAAAGTACCTTTTGGCTGATTGTGAGTTAGTCCCCATCACTTGACATTTAAATCATAGGCATATGGCCTATGCATTAATGAGAAGGCGCCAATTTGTCTCTGGGCTTGATGCTTGGGCTTGAGACAAGTCTTTCTTTTAATTGGCATTTTTGGACTTCCACACACTTATAACTCAATGTTCAAATATTAACCCAAACAGTATTAATGCATACCAATACAACGCCAGAAAGGATTCAATCTCGTAATTTGAACCGTTCATTTTTCATATTAATGTTTGTCACTGTTGTCCAAGTATTAACGGTCAATGATACAATGATACATAGATATCTACAATGAGCACTAGTCTCTTTGTTTTTTCTCTCCGTGTTCTTTTTTTTTTCGGTCGAATAGGGAGGTTTGTCTAAAACATAAAACTGATTTTTTACAATGCCCTAAAGTTTAAGTGATGGGCGTCTTGCAAAGAGACTATTTCAAGTTTTAGTATCATTTTGTTGTGCATCTAGAAATGGCGTTTATGAGCATGTATTTCTTACATAAGCATTCCCAAACGGGTTCTTCGAAGCTACAATCAATGGCAAAATAAACACATGCACCACTCTTATTCAATAACTTTTTTTTTTGTCAAGGGCTCATATATACTGCCCGAACTTGTGTAAACGTATGTTAAACATTTAAAACAGGGCATATCGTTTTTCAATTATAGGTCATCAAAATATTTTGCAATATACATTTCCTTTACGTAAATCCTCAACAACTCCTTTACGTAATCCTCAACAACTCCAATTAACTTGTACGAACTTTCATCCTGCAAAAAGAGAAAGAAAAAGGAAAGAAAGCAAGTTAACGATCAACTTAACTGCTTTCATAATCACCCAGCCCAATCCGACCGTGAGCTCTCACTACGACGAAGATACTAAGTCGAAGCTAGCCTTTTTAACACGTTTTCACGACGTTGATGACACAAGTCACCAATACACCACTGCGAAAGTGGCTGACATGTCAGCCACAGAAAGCTGCTACACAAGTAGTAATAATAATGACTACAAATACTAATCTTCAGTAAACATGGAAACACTTCAACATCAATGAAAGTTCAACATATTTTAACCTGTAAGACCTATACGAACATATTTTAACCTGCATAATTGGCTAAAGGGAATTGGTAGGACAAAGAAGCACTTCAACAAATGGTGAAAGCATACATACCAGGGCCCGTTTGATAATGAAGACACCACCTAAGTAAATTACTTAGCCTCATTGGCATAGGAGAGACTGGTTCAAAAACCTAATTTTAAGCTAAGGGCCCATTTGATAACCATTTCGTTCATAGTTTTTGGTTTTCACTTTTTCTACTTGAGATATGGGGTAAGAAGAAGGGATGGACGAAGAATGATGGGAGAGAGGGGAAGAAAAAGGAAGAGTGAAAGAAAATAAATCAGTGAAAAGTAAGAACAACTTAAAATAGTTTTTGGTTTTTGATTTCTAGTGTTCGTTTTCTGTGCCTTTCCTTGTTCATTTCTTCTACATCTCTACCACCATCCTTTATTCCATTCTTCTTTATCCCTGCTTATCCCCATGTAGCTCCCCTCTATCACTAACACAAAAAGTGAAAACCAAAAACGAAATGGTTAACAAAAGGGCCTGAAGCTTACTACCAATATCAACACCAAAGTATCTTAAATGCTTGTTACCAATCTCAATAGCTCCTTATCTGGCTTGATAATTATCTAACCACTAATAAAAATGTTATATATACAATAAAAGTGACCACTAAAAGAAAAAAATTCAGTGTGAAGATTGAAAAGAAGTAAAGCCAATAATTAGACAACTAGAAGTAGCACTTCTATACAACCAATTGAGAAGTAAGATTAAAAAGGAAAGCAGTAAAAGGGTGGGGAATATATTTACTAGTCGTGAGAAGATTGGTACCTTTAATTAACAGAACTCTGAAGAATGGGAAAGACAGCATTCTCCATATCACTGTAAAGCGGTCTATGTGTCTCGATCAAAATTGCCTGGGGCCAGCATTCAGCCCATGGATTTGTTCAGCAACAAAAGGATCAATACGAATATCGAGAGTTGAAGCATTAACCTAGGCTCCGAAATACGTTCAAGGATTCTCTGAAACCTGTAAGTTCAACCAGTAGATAGCTGCTGATAAAGCCTGTTATCCAGTTAAAGATAATCATCATTATCAGAAAGTGACTAAAAGATTCACCAAGACTTAGCCCGTATTTCAGTTAATTGATGTATGCTCATTTGACTTCACCAAGCCGTTTTGAACATAAAATTCACATGTTGAGCATTTTACAATGCCTTCCACCAGTCACATTTAACGAACATGAATATAGGATTCCGATTGACACAAATTAAGGACATGAGGTTAAAATTCTTCATATTAGAGAAGCAGGAATTTTGAAACGGTTAAGAAACTAAGGGGGTGATAAGTGTATCTTACCCTAGAATCTTATACGTGGCTTAAACACTATCACATTACACAAGCAACCAAGTACTGTTATAGATGTTTATGTTTCTGAGAGGGAAAAAAAAGCATCACATAACAAGCATTTTATGAGTAAATGGCCTACCAATCTCTTTTGTTGGAATTGGAAGTACCATCTCCATCAATAATTTCCTCCTCCGCAAAGTCTTCTAATATAGCATTTTGCCGTTCGTTGATTTCACATTGTAAAAAATCTAAAAAAAGATGAATGGGATAAAAGCATTCTTGTAGCTCACAAATGTAGAACTAACTGCAATGTCAAAAAACCATTAAACCTAGAACCGCAGTTCGTTAAAGTACAGTAATATAGAACATGATATCAGTCTTAAAAGGTAATCATCATGCAACAATAGGGCTTCCTCTACATGTCTGTAAAGACTATGTATACAGCTGTGTAGAAATTAATCTAGAAGCCCTACGACAGCCAACACCAGGAAAAGAAATTGACTGAAAAACTGTGTACAAGTTCCAGTGAGGCCTTAGCCTGTGGGCCAGTAAGATTTTGAAATTAAAAACTTAAATTTGTAATATATCAGTTACAAGTTTAACCAAGAGTATGCTAGTCATTGACAAAAAAAAAGAGAGTATGCTAGTCAGTCGTCTCTATCAGATAATAACACAAATCATTCACAGAGCAAACCAGCGTTGGTTGTTAACTTTAGTTCAACTTAGGTTTCTGAGCACGGGGGTAAACCAGCAAGTAGAACAGTTTTCACTTGATCAGACCAACGCGCATTTTCATAATTTTAAACAGTTCTTTAGGGGAAAAAAAGGACAACTCCAAGTATAAACAAACACCAATTAAAACAAATGTTTGGTCTAAATGATCTAAAGGACTCAAGTAATAATCATATTACAATGTAATATGTGAGTAAACAGTGCCAAAAACAAATGTGCAAACAACAAAAAAGGAAAGTAGTAAGACATAAACGTATGATATACATAATTATAAAGAC